CTTTATGGTAGTTGATACTATTTTTGTAGAAATTATAAATGATATTTCAAAATAACCTTATCTTCAGGGTTTTCTAAGATCAAAAATTCAACACACCAGGGCTGGGGAGACAGCTCAGTGGACAAAGCGCTTCCTGTACAAGCCTGACGGCCAAATTGGGGGCAGACAGGAAGATCCCAGGAGATACTGGCCAGCAAGCCTAGCCAAGACAGGTCAGGAGAGCCTGTCTCAAGGCAGTAATGTAGAGAGCAATAGAAAAGGCCATACATTATCTTGTTCTAGCCGAGTACAGGCAGAGTCAGCACTCACACATCCCTGTGCACACACCACACATGAATTCGAGTACGCACACTTTAATGCATTGACGTAGAGCTAGAACTTAATTCTCCGTGTCTTGAGTAACAAAGCTCAAGTCAAGTGCATGTCACTCCCGAATTACATAAGCCTTCTATGATGCAATGCTTAGGAGTGTGCCTTAGTTACTTTCTTTTTGCAGTGATAAGACAGCAGAATCATGGCAACTTACATAAGAAAGAGTTTCCTGGGGGATTACAGTTGCAGAGGGTAGACCATGACCATGACCATGACCATGACCATGGGAGAGAGCATGGCACCAGGCAGGTTGGCATGGTGCTGGAGCAGTAGCTGAGAGCTTACATTCTCATCCACAAACAGGGGGCAGAGTGAGAGAGTTAACTGGGAATGGCATGGGTTTTTGAACTTCAAACCTACCTCAACAGTGACACGTCTCCTCCAAAAAGGTCACATCTCCTAATCCTCCCCAAAGAGTTCCACCAGCTGGGGACAAAGCATTGCAATACATAACCCCATGGGGCCCATTCTCATTCAAACCAGCTCAGAGGACATTTTCCCAAGCTGGTCTCTTCCAAACTAGAATTGTTAGTGGAACTAACCTTTCCCAGGGCAGTTCCTAATTGCATCATTACCTAACCCTATAAACAATGATAACTAGTTAAGCCCTAACACTGGGCATGTTTAATAATTTAAAGCCAATGGCAATGGCCATCAAGAACTCTGAACAAAATTTTAAAAAGAAAAGTCTGAAAATCAAGTCCTTGCTTTTCTAAGATTTATTTGTAGTATTTTTATTTTATGTGTATGTGCGCATGTATGTGTGAGTGAATGTCACATGTGCGCTCACAGAAGCCAGAGAAGTCATTGGGGTCCTTGGAGTTGGAGTTACAGGTGGTTGAAAACTACCCAGTGTGGGTTCTGGGAGGTTTGTTTGGGTCCTGTGGAAGAGCAGAGAGTGTTCTTAAGCCCTAAGCCATCTTTCCAGAGCCACAACCTAGTTTTTCTTTAAGTATTTGCTTTTGCTGGCTGTGTTTATATTCATCTGACATAATTTTGTGGCTGTTGCTTGTCAATGCCCTGCAGAAGCACAGTTTCTAACAAAGGGCCCTGGACAAATTTTTCTCTAAGATACTAAGATACCACCCGCAGGACAGACAGGGTGAAAGCCAAAAACGGGCTCCAAGTGGACATGGCCTAACAACCATCCCTTTTATACCTCTTAGTTACTTAAAAATTTGTTCCTAAAAGGTAAGGGTTTTATTGGCACTAGCTCCTCAGCATCTGTTATTTGTCCCCCAAATGTGGGACCATATCAGCCCAACTGAAACAGGTCTTGTCTCAGTAATAAAGGGAAGTAAACCAGACGGCTAATCATCAATATCATCAAAGAAAATTGTTCGGAAGCAGGGCTGATTGCCTTTAACTGAGAGGCTGAAGAAGGGGGATCTTGAGTTTGAGATCAGCCTGAGCTTCATGGGAAGACCCTGTCTCAAAAGCAGCAACAAAGATGGAAACACTCATGTCAGCCCTTCCAACATTGACCCAACTGAGGAGTTACAGAGATGTGGCTCTTATACGTCACCTTGCACTGGCCATGTGCTCTGACCCCGGGCCCTCCAATACTGCTGTGACATTTGTTTTCACATGAACAAAAGTATGTCAGAGATTTTCACAAGCCCAGCATATCACCTCAAGTCCTTCAAAACTGAGCCCTGATAACAAAGAAGAGAACTGTCCTGAGTAGGGGAGACATTTTAGAAAGATTTGTACTGTCAGGCTGCTGAAACCTTAGTTCCCAAAGAATTTAAAAAAAAAAATCTCAAGGCCTAAAGAATAGATCAGTCAATAAAGCACTTGCCACACAAGCATAAGGAATTGAGTTCAATTCCACCCACATAAAAAGTGCACTTACAACCCAAGTGCCTTGGGTCCCTGGGTCCCAGCTGGCCCAGCCTAATCAATGAGCCCCAGATGCCAGAGAGAGATGTTATCCCAAAATCCAAGGTAGATGTTCATGAGAAATAATATCTGAAGTTGACCTCTGACCTCCGCACATACACACTCACTCACATCATGCACACACATGAAGGAGAATTGAAAGTCCCCTAGAGATCTCAAACTTGCAGAACAGGGAAAGGCTGAAGCCCTGCTTCCAGAGAAACACACCAGGCCAACTTTCAGGACAAACCAGAAGCAAGCCACTGATGGGTCAGGGATGATGGGAGCACACCTTGACCAGGACTGTTCACCTGTTCATCCTTCCTGTCCAGTGTTACACCTAAACTCATGTCAGTGTCCTGACATGATGGATGGCTTTTCCTCCTCTCCTCACTGCGGTCCCCTTCCTCCCCTTTTCACTAGTCCTTGTCTCTTTAATTGGTGTGCTGGGACAGACTGCTGAGTCTTGCTCAGTATGCCTTCCAGAGCCCAGGCTTTGACACTGAAAACTCTGGGGACAACTGGACTCTTTCATTTGATCCTCTTCCTGGCATGGTCACATTGACTCACTCTCCTTTCTCTGCCTTTTCGCCACTGCTTTTCTCTTTAACTGGAATTTGAGGGGGCTTTCGGAGCCTGTGCTTTAATCTTAAAACTTCTTGTCACACCATTTCCACATAAAATCACCCTCTGTGGTGCTGGGGACTAGATCTTCAACTTGTGAATTCCGAGAGACTACAATCAATTCCACCTATAATGGAGAGCAGAAAAAAGAAGAGCGGGGGTCTAAATCCTGACTCTTGGCAGGACCATGGCATTTCAGGAGGAAACAACCCCTCTGGGTAGCCGTCCTGCCAGCCCTGCGTTTTCTCACAGGCAAGCCCAGCATATAACTTTCTACTTTCCAAGGGCTGAAGGCAAAGGGGCCAGCAGCTGGTCTGTGGCTGCTCGTTGGAAGTCCCTGGCGTTTCTGAGGTAATAAATACTGGTGCGGCAGATGGACTAGGTACCAGGACCTGTGGGATGGCACTACTCCTCACAGAGCATGGTGTCTCATCCATAGCTTGGCCACTAAAACAGACCCAGAGAAGTCAGAAGAGTGAAACTCAAACTTTGGTCTGTTCACCTTCAGCATCCTTTCAATAGTCTGCCCTGCTTGGTTACAAACCCTTAAACTATGCCCCGAAGAGTGAAAATTGCCCAGTGGACAAAGCAAATAGCCTGAAACCCTGGCCCTGGGAGAGGAGGAGGAAAAGGAGAAGGAGGAGGAGGAAGAGGAGCTTGTCTCCCTGGAAGAGATTTAACACCATTCAGACAACCTCTCATAGCTAACTCTGCATACATATGTCCTTCGGGCATCAGTTTCCAGGAAAGGGGAGGGAATCTAGGAATTTTCTACCTCCAGTTCCTACTGTAAATAAAACTATTTTTCCTTTACCAATGTCTGCTCCCAATTTTCATTTGAAACGTGGGGAAACTGAGGAGTAGTTTATGAGCTGAGGCCCCAGATGACCTGGGGAGGTCACACATGGCAGGCAGCCATGTGCGTTACAGCTGCTATGCCGGGTTCTGGCCTTTGCCTGACCACCCCCACCCTCCGCACTGTAGGAAGCCAGCAGTGTTGTATGGGGAGGCCTCCATCTGCAGGAAGATGCAGAGCCATCCTCAGTAAGCAGCGAAGCAAGGCCCGGGATCCCAAGAGAGTCAGACTGGAAGGAAGCCTGGGGCCTTGCTGCCTCCTAAGCCACCAGTACCTGCTCCGGTAGAAGAAACTGGCTCAGAACCCGCAGCCAACTGGGATGGGCCTCCGCATCCTGACCCCGGACTAGGAGGCCTTCCCTGTATGAGGCTCGACACTTACACACTTCTACGGTCAAAATGATTATTTAACCCACTTCCACGTGGTATTAAGTGCAAACAGTTGAAACCTGTTGGATAAAGCCAAGCCCCAGGGATTTGATGACAGTCCCATCAGCCGTTCAACATTAACAGACCTTGTAGAGCCTTGCAGGGCTCACTGGGGAGAGCCGGCCCTGCTCCAAACACCTGGGCTGGCCACCAGGAAAACGTTAGAAACAGGCAACAGATGACCTTCAAACCACAGGTAGTATAAATAAGAAAAACAGTGGGAAATGGTAGCAGGGCCAGCACTCAGGGGCCCTGGTGGAGGCACCGCAAGTTCAGGGCCATCCTGGGCCACCCAGAGAGACCCGGCCTCGGAAATAAAATGAAACGAAATACGCCAAGGAAATGAATAAAGAAGGAACTGACCCAGCCAGTAGGGATGGGCTCCTGAACCTCAGAGGTTTGCCCTTCAGAGGCATATTCGAATGCTATGAAAGAAGAAGAAACGTAATGTCTACAAAGCCCTGCGGTACAACAGAGAAGCGAACACAAGGTTTCCGTCAAGGATATCAGGCTTACGTCTGGCTGGAGGCCTTTCAGATGTGGCGGCAGCAGCCGTTCTAAGAGCGATCATCCTCAGGGAGATCTGTTCCCCAGACGCCACCTCTACCAAACCAGGCAGTAAGCGATATGGTCGGACACAGGCGCACACCCTGGCGGTGCCAACGCCCTTACCCTTCCTTCCTGCTCTGGGCCTGTTCCCCAATCTCCTCAGCACTGGAAAGGAGCTTCCCACAAACCCAGGAGCCTAGAAAGTGTGGGGACTGTGGCCCATCCTGGAACCTGTCACACCCTGGGACTTCCAGCGAGCGCCCCAAGGCTCTAGGAAGAACCACACTGACCTTGCTTTCTCCCCGGGTCTTTTGAGCGGCTCCCTTGGAGGACTTGGAGAAAGTGGACCCGGCGACCTGCGTGCGCCGGGGCCTCAGGTCGCCCAGGCTGCTGAGATACTTCTTGCGCAGGGCCAGCAGCTCCTGAAGGTACTGCAGGCAGTCCTGGGTGCGCGAGAACATCCAGGCGCGGTCCTCCTGCCGCAGATAGTGCAGGCCGGTGTCCATGCTGTGCGTGCTTCTGTATTCCTTCAAGGGCTCGCTGCACCTCTCAAAGTGGTCTCCGACCACGTACATGGAGGTGCTGCGAAACAGCCGGACCGCAGGGCTGGCTCCCGTGTAGCAGGGGTCCTCCGCCGCCGCCTTCCCCTGCGGACCGTGGTGGAGGATGGAGTGGATCTTTCTGAACATGGTGCTCGGTTTCCCACCGTGGGAACCGGCGGCCGCCCGCACCGGCGTCACTTGATCCGGCTGCAGGCAGGGGCGCCCATAGGCAGGCCCTGCGCCACCTGCCTCCCAGGAGGCCCAGCTCTCGCAATCCCAGTGAGGAAGGGCTGTGTCAGGCGGGCGACCTGCCCCTCTCTCGTGGAGGGAGGGACACTTACATGGGACGACCGGGGTGACACGCAAAGCCCACTCCGGGAGACAGCGCCCAGGCAGGCCTTTCGAACCAATTGCTGCAAATATGTCCTATGCTTTTCCATGGAAAGGTTCAGCTGGAGGGAAACGGGGAACGGTGCTTTACCTGCGCAGTCATTGTCTTTGCTCTGAGTTTTCTATTTCCAGGAGTGGTCTCCTCCCGTTTAACTACAGTTCTGCCTAAGCTGAGCTGGCCCTGGTGCTGAATTCTGTTAAGTCCAAAATAAAATCTTACTCTGCTGGAACACCCTTAGCGAAAACCCGGGTGTTGCTCTTGGTGAGATCCAGTCCCCCTCATAGGCAAGGGTGGACACAACCAGGGCCCCTGGCAGGAGGGCCAGGGCTGATAAGCTGATAAGCCGGGCTTTGAGCAGGCATCCGAGAGTCCTGGAGGAGGCTGGCCCCGCGTAAGAGGACCTCTGGGTGGTCACCCGATAGCTGGCCTTTGAGGGCTGGAGGACTCAGGTATCTGGATCACGACTTTTAGCACAAATGTGTCAGTGAGTGGATGGGCGACCTCACACACCGGGGCAGATCTGCTTCCTCTGGGTGTGCTGTTAACCCCGAACAGCCCAAACCGAACCAGCTACTTTTCAAGAACATAAAGTTCTCAGCACCCCGGAGACTTTCTGCCCAGTTTTCGCCGTTCCGTTCAGAACTTTCACTGCCGCATTCCGTTTTCATCCCGGCTTGGACCTGCTGGCTGAGTCCTGAATGTCTCTAGGGCAGGTATTTCTCTGCGTGTACGTTAGCATGTTACAGAAGCTGTGGGCCAGGTAGTATGTGTAAAGCACGGTTGCTTGCACTGCACACACATCCCTTTTGCTGGGTTTATAGCTTTATCAGATACAAAGAAGAGCAGAACAGCTGCCTTTCTGCCCTGTTCTGCCTCAAAAAAGTCACCTCGATGTTCCCTGCCTCTGCCTTCACAGTGTAGAGGAGCCCAGAGGAGGCAGGTCAGTGTCATCTCCTCTCAGAAGGGCCCGTGAATGAGAAGCTCGGCCTTCCTCTGCAGGTCATGCCACTCACTTGTGGCCATGTCTGTGCTGCCTGGATCAAGAAAATGTGCAATGTCACCCGAAGCTTCACCTCTTGCTCACCATGGGCATAAAACTACTTTCCTCCATACTCTCCCCTCCTGGATTCTCCTGGAGGGCCAGGCTTGGGAGGAATCGCTGGCTCTTGCAGTGAAACCTGAGGATCTGAGTTCTCCGAGACTGATTCACATGTACTTCATGGTATACGTGCACACACACGCACACACATACACACACACCCCATAGGCACACACACAAGCATGCTTAAGTATGCTCATGCACACACACAGATAGGCAGATTGACACACACAGTCACATTCAATTATGCTTGTGCATACACACAGACACACACAGCGCACACAATAGCCACAGTGAGACAGACACACAGACTCAGACATGTTCAAGCATGCACGCACACACGTAGAAATAGATGCAATAAATATTTTGGGAATAAAAAAGAAGTTGAACATTGAGAATAAAAATATGTATGGGTGTCTACTTGCAGAGCACTTCACGCCAGCAGACAAAACATCAACAATTATCACAACCCAATAGGAGGCTTTAATCACCCCCATGCCAATCCTTCCTCCAAAGCTATGTCCCTCACTAACCTCTAGTGTGTCTGGGAAAAGAGAAAGGAGGCTGTCTTCTCTGCAGGATGAAGGACGTGCACCCACAGCGATTCTTCAACCTTGGGTTACCTAGATTTTTCTGGCGGTCTCAGCTGTAAAAGTCACCCCGTGGTTTTACAAAAGTGTATTTTTGCAGACTCTGCAAATGCCTTCCAATCTGAAGTCTGGCCCCTCCTGGCTCCAGCTTCTCTCAAACCCTGAAGAGGAGCTTGAGGCAGTGCTGTCCTCCCAGACCTAACCTCTGCATTCCAGTGGGCCCATGCTCCGCCCTACCTGCTCTCTGTGGAGGTGTCCCAGCCTTGAGCCGTGAGCAGAGAACCCGCTGGCAGGGAGTCTGTGTGACGAGCTTTGCATTATCCCATAATAATAAATTCTTACAATTCGTGCGGTGGAATCACCACCAGTGCCGGCAGCAGATCTTGGCCGTGAGACCCGGGGAGCCCACAGGCAGCATGAACAGAATAGGAGCATCCTGCTCCAAGTGGGCCTCCTCTGGCATGGCTGTTCATAACCTAGTGGGGCCAAGCAGAATGGCAGGGAAGGGGGCAGACATTCAGATCGCAGCTACTTACCAGCTTAAAAGAATTGTTCAAACTCAGAACTTCGGGTTCCCCCTCTGCAAAAGTTGATGTCTATCCATTCCACGGTGCTCAGCATGTTAATTGTGTGTCATCAAAAGTACACAGTCCTTGAGGCCGGTGGTGGCACACATCTTTAATCCCAGCACTCTGGAGGCAGAGCAGCCAGGTCTCTGAGGCCAGCCTGGTCTACAAAGTGAGTCCAGGACAGCCAAGGCTACACAGAGAAACTCTGCCTCAAAAACAGACAAAAAGCACATGCACCCTATGCTATGCTATGCAGTTCTTGGGATGTTTAATGTAGTGTGTTAGTCAGGGCTCTAGTGTTGTTTCTGTTGCTGAGGTACCCTGACGAAAGGCAGCCTGCAAGAGAAACAGTTCATTTTAGCTCACAGTTCCACGTTCCAGTCCATCACAGCAGGAAAGGCAAGGCAGGAGCCCACAGTTGAGAGCGAAGAGGAATGAATGCACACATGCTCGGTGCTCAGCTGCCCTTCTCCACTCTTACACTGTCCAGGGCCACAAACTAGGGAATAGTGCCATTCACTTTCAGCCTGGATCTTCCCATGTCAGTTAGAACAATCTAGACAATCCCCACAGACAACCTAATCTATACATACATACACCCCCTTTCAGATACACTGACAAAAGCAACCATCACGGTCACTATGTCATTGACATGACAAAACAGCTGAGAGAAGCAAAGCTGTCGCAATGAGAACTAAGCCTTCCATACATGAGCCTTCTGGGGTGACGCTTTCTATTCAAACCATAACAAGAACACATCTCTCTCCCTGTTTCTGCTTCTCTTCCATCTCCGCTGGAGAGACGGCTCAGTGGTTAAGAGCACTGGCCCCCCTTCCAGAGGACTTGCGTTCAATTGCCAACACCCACGTGGTAGCTCTCAACTGTCTACAACTCCAGTTCCAGAGGATCTGATGCCCTCACAGCAATGCACATTAAATAAAGTTAAGTGAGTGTGTTTTCCATCTCTGTACATTCAACTTTAAAATTCCACATATAAGTGTGATTGTGAGGCAGTTTTCATTCCGTCTTAGCATGATATCCCCCAGTTTCCGCACATATTGTGACAACTGGCAGGATCTCCCTTTCTGAGCCAGAATGACAATCCAGTGTACACCTGGAGCAGTTTCTTTTTCTATTAATTGATCAGCAGACACTTGGGCTGTTTCTACATCCTGGTTGCTGTGACAATATGCAGATACATAAAATAAGTCCAGAGATCAAGCGTACCACACGAAAAGTATAGTTAGTAGCACTGTGTTTTATTGGAATTCCCCCACCAAAGAAATAGGATTTAAACGCTCTTGACCAGAAAAAGGGGTTGGTCCTATTAGATCATGAGCATATTAGAAATATGTGGTGTATCCCAACAAATATACCCAATAAAAAAAATAAGCAAAAAGCAGCAAAATGAAAGACTAAAGGGAGAGCATTCGCTGTCCTATTTCCTCCATCAAAAGTAGCATTATAATCGTATAAAATATCACCATGGTTTCTATTTCACAAACCCTGCCAGACATTTACCAAGCATGTCTCCCAATGTTTTGGATTCAGTCAAATTCAAGAGGCCTGCCGTGCTTTGATATTTATAAAGGTTCACAGTCTTAGATGGGCCCTAAATAACAATGAGATGAGGCTCTTCTGGGTTCTGCCAGGACCATGAGAAGGGTCTATTTCCCAGATGCCGGGAGGTTGCTCCATCTGGAGCAGCCAGCTGCTCGTGGGCCACCTGCACTGCGCCTTTTCCTTTCTGGCAGGATTCCAATGAGCACCTCAACCCCCTCCCTATAGCCAGGTGCACAGCTGACATTGTAGAAAAACCTGGAGTCTCAGTAGGATACCCACACCAAAGGCTTGGCCCTGTCAACCCCACTGGCCAGTACCTCACTTCCTAAAAAGAACGATGACTGAAACAATAACAAACAGCCAAAAGTTTTGGTCCCCAGTAGCAAGTCTGGAAATCCCTGTCACCCTGTCCCTGATGAAAAGGTGCCTCTGAATCAGCTCATTGCCTTCCAGAAGTGAATAAAATGTTAGAACAGAGAAGTCTGGAGGCTGAAGGAAAACTATGGAGGAAGAGGGGGATGCCGAGAGAAGGAAATGATCAAGTTCCCCTACTGAATAGTTAATGAAGGATAAGATTACAGCGTTCGACAACCCGGGTCTCATGTCATGGTGGTCCATTTGCACAGCTTACTGGAACATTCCGCTTTCTGATTATGCTGAGTAGCAAGGGAAAAAATTCTCCCCATGGACAGCTTCCACAGCTCACAGATCAATGCCGTCTTTGCTTGAATCTCTACCTGATGAAGCCTGCCCTCAGAACAAAGCATATATAAGCCACCCTGGGCACCACCTCCATCCACAGGGACTGAAAGCAGGGCAGTAGGCTGCTTAATCCTTCTGCTTCCTGGTGCACTTGGAGACCCTGGAACAGATGCACGTGAGCAAACACTGGGTCTCCGAGGCTCACAAAACAACACAGTACTGTGCCAAAGGAC